GGCCCTAAGTCATAAAGCTGGCCGGCATATGGCCAAAATGTGGTTTTTTGTATTTTTGACCACCCTGTATTTATAAGGCCGGTCATCTGATTAAAATAAAACATATACAATTGGAAACTTTTTTGAAAGTAGATGCATTTAGTGCTAAAGCACAATCAAATCGGCGGCCATTTGGTAAAATTACGGTCATGTGAAACCATTGGCCAACAATCAAAAAACATATGGAAGTGGCCAAAATTTAGATCTTCTTGGAAATTATTTTCTATAAACATTGCCTACTTATTAAGACCTTTACAACGATATGCAAAATATTCGCTTCAGGTGGCCATTTCAAAATGGCCAAAACTTTTGGCTCCATTTACATGAGGCCGTAATTCGGCCAAATGGCCGCCGATTTTATTGTGCCTTAGCTTTAAATGTATTTACGTCCAAAGACGTTTCCAACTTTATATATTTCATTTTAATCAGATGGCCGGCTTTAAAAATACATGGTGGTCAAAAACACAAAAAACCACATTTTGGCCATATGGCGGCCAGCTTTATGACTTAAGGCCATCATTAAAATGCAAAACAAAGTACCGGAATCTTTGATTTAGGTCACCATCTTCATTTAAAAGCCAAATACCGACAATTAATTATGAGATATTCAAGATTTTGACCAATTTTCCCAAAGTGTGCCATAACTTTTGACGCGTGATTTTTGATTTTTGTTATTTATCTACAGTAACGGTAAGTTAAATTCGAAAAAAAGATTATGAATTTATATATTTCTACTCGTTTCATAAAACCATAAAAGAAATTTTGTTAAAATAACAATAAATATATATAAAAACTGAAAAAACTAACTGTGCCAAAAATTTTGACGCTCACTGTATATAGATAATGGTGTTTGGTCTGTATATTACCTGCTTACCTTGCGATATAAATGGCGCAATAGATGTAAATAAAATTGGTATTCAAATGTCGATATTTGTGACAATTGTCCCAAAAAATATCCCAAAGTGAAAATTGTGACATTTGTAGCATTTGTGACAAAATTTCCAATTTTTCATCACAAAAATATGCACTGTCCCAAAATATTCACAAAGTAAATTTTTTCACATGTATGACAATTGTCTCAAAAAATGTCCCAAAATGAAAATTGTGACATTTTTACCATTTGTGACAATTGTCCTAACAATTTCATAGAAATGTCCCAATTTTTTTTTACATTTGTGACAAATGTCACAAAAATATCCTGTCGCAAAATGATCAAAAACTGATTTTTTTTTTCATTTGATACTTTTGTGACAATTGTCCAAAAAAAATTTCCCAAAGTGACACCATTATTATTAATGATACTTCATCACAAAAATATGGACTGTCCCAAAATATTCACAAAGTAAATTTATTCACATGTATGACAATTGTGTCAAAAAATATCTCAAAGTGAAAATTGTGACATTTTTAGCATTTGTGACAATTGTCCCAACAATTTCATAGAAATCTCCCATTTTTTCACATTTGTGACAAATGTCCCAAAAATATGCTGTCCCAAAATGATTAAAAACTGATTTTTTTTCATTTGGGACATTTGTGACAATTATCCCAAAGTGAAAATTGTGACACTTGTAGAATTTGTGACAAAATTTCCTAGAAATGTCCCAAAAATTGTCCCAAAAATGTGCCTAAAACCTGCGCGCACTCAAGACCTTTCCAACGATACGCTGCACTTTCGGATCGGTTGGGCGGTTCAGAAGATTACCCGGAACATACATACAAACATTCAGATTTATATATATAGATTTGTCTAGACATTACAAACGAATCACTTCTCCGAATAATTCGTGTTTTTTTTTCTTTGCCATAAAACTTAAATAATCAGTTGCTGGGATGGGATGGTGGGTTCATTGGAACGTTTATGTCTATCGTGTGCTGGTGACAGCTTCTTTGCGAGCCGCATCTTGCAACAATTGTGTGTCCACTTCCTCAACCGGTAACTGCACATAACGCACCACCGAACCACGGATGAAACAGTTTTTCACCGATCTGGAAATGGAGAAATAAATCGATTGTGTTAAATCAAATGGAAAATTCTGCAAAATCGATTGGAATAAACAAAACGCATTCAATACGTACAACATATGTGGATACTTTTCTGTGTCGTTCACACTGATGTCTGTCAATTTGATGTTCAGATACTGATCTACCGAGTGCAATGTGCCGCATATACTGTAAAAGAACGAAATTGAATCGATTATTTATGGAATAGTCTGGTTTATTATTTGCATTATAAACAGGTAGCGATGCGCCAAGATGATCAAGGTGTATGACCTTGGTGTAAAATACCTTAAATCGTTTTTGAGCTCAACGACGACATCCTTTCCCACCAATGACTTGAAGAACGAATAGAACAACTACAAATACACCGAAAGAAGAACCTCGCTAATTTTTTATTTAGCCAAAAAGAACAGTGCGCTTTAAACACTGCACACTGATCGAAGTGAATTATTTCTTTCACAGTTTTTTGCCACTATTTACCTTTGTTTGACACATTTGTTGTTGGCATACTGGAATGTGCATTCTCAGCAAAGTTTTAAGTTTGAATTTTGTGGTAGTATGTCGCATGTCAGCCTAGTAATGACATCTATTGAGTCCCGATTGAAATTTTGCAGAAACGATTCAGATTAAATGATGCGATCGTAAAGCGAAATGAAAAACAATACTCTTTTGATTGTTGAATAATTTTTTAAAAAAATAATTCAAATGTTTCTTCATACAGTGAAACTGAATTTCTGAATTTGAATTTCTGTTTAATCACCGTTGGAACGTTTGACCAAGTCGCATGACACGTGATTGCTGTGCCGGCAGCGATATTTTGTGCTGTAGCGGAATAATGACACATCAACATACTGTCAAAGAAATCCCGATGACATTAAAAGCATATTAGTTATTTGTCGATTGTCAAGTGGCAAACAAAAATCAATTGTTGATTCAGTTAATTGCTTCAAATAAAATTAGTGCATCCAGAAAAATAGTAAGAATTGTTTCCAATTTTTCCATTCGACCTGCACGAAACGCGACAAAAAATGGACGAATCAGGCTCCGAAGATGGCAATGAAATAATGGTAAGCTATCGGATTATTGGAGTGTTCATCGATTTCAATTTGAATTGATTCCAATCGTTAAAGGCATTTGTTAAGTGTTGGTTGGAATCTGTAATTCGATTGTCATGTGTGACTTAGTTTGCAATGTTAATATCGATGTTTAAGAAGTTTTTCTTTCCTTTGTTTCGTTCTATCATTTAGAATACTGTAAAAGCAAAGCTCGCTGAATTGGGACCAGAACCATCTGAAGGGGCGGTAAGATAAAAATCTTTTGTATTATCTCAATTATATCTTCGTTATGTAGTATAAATAAGAATTTACACATCGGAATGAATCATTTTTATTGTTTTTCCCATCTTCTTGCTTTTCTTCATGAAATTTAGACAATATCTGTTCCAGTTGCTGGCATTGATTTCGGCGCTGCATCCACAAGAATGGCTGTATTTGAAGGACGAACTCCTGCCTCATGCTTTGATTATCCATCCTACGTTGCCTTCACCGAAACCGAACGTCTTATTGGTATTCATGCCAAGAAGCAAGCCGGTATGAACCAAACCAATACAGTTTTTGGGGTCAAACGTTTGATCGGTTGTGAATTCGACGATGAGGCCGTTCAACCCAAAAACTGGCCATTCTGTGTTAAGAATGTTGACAACAAACCAAAAATTGAAGTTCAATACGAGGGTCACACCAAGCAATTTAGCCCAGAAGATATCTCATTCATAGTTTTGGCCGATTTAAAGGAATACGCCGAAACTTGCTTGAAAAAAACTGTCAATGATGCCATTGTCACAGTACCATCTTACTTCAACGATTCGCAACGTCAAGCGACCAAAGATGTTGTTACCGAATGTGGTTTTGTTGTGCATCGTATCATCGACGAGCCAACTGCCCTCGTCTGTTGCTATGGAGCGAACAAAAAGTTTTTCCGAAGAAAATCGAATATTTTCGTCTGTGATTGGGGTAATTATAAAACAGATTGTCAAACAAAAATTGATCGAAAATAGTTTTATGCAATGATATTCTCATTTTTTTCGTTTTTTGAATTCTGTCAGGTGCCAGTCTTGATATAACTATTTTTTCGATCGATATAGATGGTAAACTTGAGCAGAAATCAACTGTTCATGAAACTCACTTGGGAAGCGAAGAATTCGATAAAAATGTAGCCGACCACATCTTGAATGAATTCGAAAAAGAAATGGGTAGCCAGTGGATTGCCGAAAAAAAAACAGACAAAAATGCGATGCGTAAATTGTATGACGACTGCGAACGTGTGAAGATAGAGCTATCAACAGATAACATTTCGAATATGTCATTTTTTACTATCACTCGAGAAGTATTCGAAAATTTAAACGCCAAATTGTTCGAAGGGTTAAAGAAGGCAATCAAAAAGGCTCTTCACAACGCCCAATTGAAAAAGGATGATATTACCGACATCGTCTTGGCCGGTGGATTATCGAATATCCCAAAGGTTAAAAATCTGTTGAGAGATGAATTCCAATTATCGCCAGTTCCACATTGTGATAGTATGTAACAAACACTCAATAATTTCTCATGTCTTTTTTCCTGTTTTTTTTATTCAACTTTAAATTTTCATTTGATAGAAAAAAAAATAGCACATTGAATCTGTTGTACTAACGAAAGTTCTTCTTATTTAATTCACAGACGCCGTGGGTGCTGCTTATTTTTGTTCGATGGTGTTGAGCAATGCTGCTATTGATGAAAGCGACAGTGAGTATCAATTTGGATTTCGTGGTATCATAACATCCACACCAAATCATTAAAAATGTCGATCCGACCTTTAAATGTGGGGTTGAGAGCGAAAATGTAATACAGAAAAGTTGAGCGGAAAAATGTCGATGATGAATGAGCGGAAAAGGGATAGCTATATAGTAAACTGTATAGTAAACTATAGTGCACTATATACCTATCTCTTTTCATTTGACATTTTCCTTCTCAACTTTTCTGTATGACATTTTCGCTTCAAACTCCTCAAATAAACTTTCGGTGGCGATTCTGAAGGTTTTCGAAGTTTCTATGTGGTTTGGGTCTTGATGTTTACCACTTCTCAGATAGTTTTCAAAATCGGTAATCTTTTATCAATTTTCAGTTTTGAATTCTTCCAATTTATCCACAATATCATATGATGGTTGGGATTCTGGTGCCTCTGATAAATTAGCAGATGATCTCTCCGATGGTTTACCAGATCGTTCAAGGTATTTATATTCAAGTAAAAAGAAAAAAAATCAGAAAAATAAATCTTTGTTGATAAATTGTTTAACTAGAAATTATTTAAAATCAATAAGTACAAATTATTATTTGAATATAATAACTGATCAAGTATAATTAGTTATAAAAACGTCAAAAAATATCAATCAGAATATTTCCTTTTTGTGCTGAAAAGGATTAAAAAATTGGTACGATCGATTTCTTCTTCGGGAAATTAAATTCAAGTTCATTCTCAAGGCCAAAACAATACAGACAGATTACAATTTGTTTTGGCAAGCAGTTTGTACGAATTTTCTTACAAATCAATTGGTCGAGTTCGGAATAAAATGCAATCGATGAACTTAAATTCATCCATTCTATGCATTCTTGCAGTTCGATTATATTTATGTTTAGAAATGCAACTTTGTTTAATTTCATACGTGATATTTTAAGAATTTTGTTAAGTTAAGATAGGTGTCATTTATTTATCGAGAAATGCAAGATAAATTCGTTGTTGATATTTTTTGACGGTCACACATTTTTTTGTGGCGTTTTTGCGATTACAACAATATCATACAAAAATCTGTCTTCATATGACAAATCGTTTTATCGTCTTTTTTCATTTCATCTCTTCACAGTTCCGAAGAAAATTAATCATTGTTGTAATCAAAAAGGCCGAATAGATAAATCAATTTGAAAAAAATCAATTCGGAGCGATTTCAATTTGCCCCATTTGAGGCTGTTTTTTTTTTCAATTCGATATCAGCTGTTTTGTAATAGAATTTTTCAATAAAATTAACAGCCAAACTGTGTTCTTTCACATATTTGATAATGAATGCAATAAATTCGAAATCTTAACAAACAGTTCATTTTTCCGCAATTTAATTGGTTTTATGTTATGAAATGACTTGATGAAAAGTTAAAATCTTACAAAATGTTATTGATATCAACGCGCAATTGATGTTTAGAGAGCAACAATAGCAACAACCAAAAAAAAGATCAAGCATAACATCAACGTATGTGTGCCAATGCTATATTGTACGCTAGCTTTATTAGCATTGTTTCGACATGTTCAAAGCCATACACACAAATTATACAGTTTATCTCTATTTACAATTTATGCAACCAATATTTATTTTAGAATGGTAAAAACAAAAATAAAATTATCGAATTTATTTAATTCAGTAGTATTTAGTTTTTAGTGAAAAAAATGTAAGAATAATCATTGTATGCAATTTAAGTAATTAAATCAAAAGGAAGTTGCGAGCGCCTCGAATTAAATTAGCGCAATGAAGCTGTAGAACAACTACACAACAAATTCACCGAGTTTATTATACTTACGCCATTTGTATGGTCGATCCACCAAACAAGGAGTAAAACATTCGATCTCTGTTCATCTTTTGTTCCTATTTAAACTTAAATTTAAGAGAATGATAAATAAAAACGAATACAAATTCTCTAAATTTTATACACTTCGAAGTCTATGTTTACTTGTACATTTATTTAAAGGATTCTCTCCAACATCGCATAAGGCCACTCCATAGCATTAAACACAACACAACAGAGTGAGAGAAATTCGTCGCTCAAAACAACTGTTCCGTTAATAAATGTCGATTTTGCGCATTGGTTCACGGGCGCGCATTTTCCATCACCCATTTTTCCACACACACAAATAACCAAGTGTTCTGTTATCAATGGTCGCAATCAAGCTCTCTCTCAAAGTTGTTCAGTTCAAATTTGTTCCTATCTTAAGCTATATCCATATTTAGCTCATTTGCAGCGAATTCCTTTGAATTTATTTTCTGTTTATTCTTTCTCGTATTTATAAAAACCAATAAAGTGAGCATACATTGAATCTTTCATTTGGAATCAAGTGTTTTTCTTTCTTTTTTTGAAATTTTGAGCACATCGATTCGGTCAATTTGTTTGTAACTTGTTGTTCTTCTTCGATGGGGAGGGGGGAGCTCAAGATATTCTGTGTTAATGTAGATAACGTTATAGTTTTAAATGCATATCATCCATTCCGCTTACGTCACGTTGAGACAATACCAAAGATAATTTCAAAGTAAAATTGGCCCAATTATTGAATATAATTGATTTGTAGTTCGATTTACAAAAACATATAATACACGCGCCAGTTGTGCTCATTTCGATTGTCCAAGAATGAAACAGAAAAGAAAACACACACACACGCAGCCACAGAGAGAAAGAGAGAACACAGTAACAAGTCGCATTCGACATGGAGTGAGACCCGAAAAACTGTCCCAAATGCACGTATTGGAATGTGTCGCTAGCTCTTATTACATTTTTGCTATTTTGTTTCGGATCGAATAAAAGTTTCAAGTATTCGGAAATAACGAAAACCAAAAAGTCAAATGAGTGAATTGCAGGCAAAACGCAAACAAGAATGGTTGTGAAGCTCAATCGATTTTTTTTCAGCTTGTTGTATCGAAGAAATGCCAAAAATAAGCATAATAGTCGAGTGTCGTGTTGGTAGCATGTTGAATGTATGGTGGTACAACATAATAATTTCGTTGTGTGTAATAACATCATCATTCTCTTCTCTTGCTACATAGTTATCTGGATTATTATTAATATTTTTGAGCAAATGTTATGCGTTGACATTCCATTTTCTACGTTATTCATGCGCGAATACGCGCCCTCGGGGAGCGCTCAATAACCCATTTTGAGTGGCTGAGCTAGTATGTACATTTATGCTAACCAATTAATATTGATGTGACGTGGAAATTATGCATTAGATGTAGAAAAAATATACTGCATATTGTTTACTTATAAATAATAAAATACTCATCCGAAAAAAAACACTATTCCTCTTGCACGTGGCTTGCCTCATCAATAAATTGTCAACACGGTCGCTGTTAATAATGCTGTGCGACCGAATTGGAGCAGAAAACGAAGTTCATACGAATATGGAGCTGATAATGTGCGGAATATGAAGAGTGTCCATTGTACATACCACCGATTTCAATTCAAGTAGAACACTCTCTAAAACATTAATTTCGTTCAACGAAATGACCCGAGATAATAACGAAATACCAGCCATTTTTAATCCACGAGCTCGTGTTCGAGCTCCGTCTGTAGTTGTCACCAATGATTCTCCAAATGGTTCATTCGCTGGCGGCGGATTCACCAACATTCTTCACTCGAGCAATCCACAAATCTCACGATCCGATTCGATAAGTCAGCCCAACGAGAGAAACACCGACGGAAATCAAAATATAAACGCTACAACAATGACGACGACCACGGCTACGGCAGCAACGACGACGACGACGACGACGATGACAATGACAACGACGACAACTACAACGACGACTGTTGCAGTCACAACAACGGCAGCCTCAACAAATAACAATAATACAACCACCATAACTACGAGCAAGTGAGTTCAGACAAATTTGACAATTTTTCCGAAATTATATCGGCTATTCATTGGTGTAAATGTTTGTCGCAGTACTCCGTTGGCGATTGGCAGCGAGGGAAATTCGAGAAAATTAACCAAATGTAAGGAATCATGTTGTTCGGAGTCGGCCCAAAAGGTAACCAATTTGTCATCGAAAACAGTTTGTGGAATTTAGATGCACATTTCTATTCTCCATTTGTAGATGTACTTTGGCGTGTGTGTGACCATTTTGGTAACGGCAAGCTGGGTTGGAGCGACCCATTGCATTAAATTTTTGTACGTATACCAAAATTCGTCACAGTATTCGGCCGTCACACCATCGGTTATATCCACAAATGATAACTTTTTCTATGGTGACTTCGAAAATGAAACGAATGAATTGTTTCAACCCATTCACATACCCGTTACCATACCGAAAATTGCACCGGTATCAACGAGCAACGGCAAACAATATGCCGCATCTGAATTTAATGCACCGTTTTTTGCATCATGGTTCTGCACGAATTTTGTGCTATTGTTCTATCCAATTTTCTTAGTTGGCCGATTAATGACAAACAATTGCCACGAAAGCCCGGGCGAAATTTTCGGTAATATATTGCGTGGATTTCGTGATCGTGGTTTCACAATTGGACGCTTCTTTAATCGTTGCATCGTGTTTTGTATCTTGTGGTTGATCACAACGTATTTGTATATTTTATCATTACGGCCGCTATTGGCGACGGACGCTATGTCACTGTTCGCCACCAACGTGGCAAGTGCATATTTACTGTCATGGGTCATATTGCATGAACAGTTTGTAGGCGTACGAGTAAGTAATGTCGATGAAATGGAAACAAATGATGATTCACGTTCCGTTTTTGATGTTTTCCTCTCTCTCTCTCTCTCTCTCTCTCTCTCTCTCTCTCTCTCTCTTTAGATTGTTGCTGTTATTTTGTGTGATACAGGTATTGCGCTACTGGCTTATATGGACGGAATAACAGGCTCCCCAACGTTGGGCGGCGTTGTTCTTGCAACTATCTCTGGTGCTGCTTATGCAGTGTTCAAAGTGAGTCTTATGAATGGCCCAAAACAATTTACCATTACTTACAAACATTTTTACACAGGTGATGTTTCGAAAGCTGTTCGGAGATCCACCCGTAGCAATGATCTCATTCGCGTTTACAATAATAGGTTTAATAAATTTAACACTGTGTTGGCCCATCCCGTTGGGCCTCTATCTGTCCGGAACAGAATGGATGCCATTAGAAAGTTTGTTCTGGATTGATCTGTTGATTGCTTGCATTTTAATGTTGAGTAAGTTTCAAATGGGTATTTGATTTTATTTAAACATAAATCAATAGAAAAAAAAACAATTCATCCGGAATGAAAATATTTTCGACAGTGTTCCACATTTTGACGCAATTCAGTTCGGCTGTAACTTACAGCATGTTTGTTACCTTGGGATTAATAACATCAGTTCCAGTTTCAGCAGGTAAATTCCCTATTCATTCATTGTCTCAAACTAACTCACATACACACACGATCAAAATCAATTGATTTTTTTTTTTATAGCCCTCGATATCGTTTTGTATGGCGCAAATTTTGCTGGCATGAAATTAGCTGGAGTGATTTTAATAGCAATTGGATTCTTTCTAGTTATGTATGTATCCATTTAACAATTATTAACCCAAATGTTGTATCATTAATAATGATTCATTATTATTATTAAACAATCATTATGTATCAAATGCATTTAAATGCAAAATATTATAAAAATCGAATGTTATTATATTCGCAGGTTCCCGAATAATTGGCCGGATTATATAACCAGATTACTCAGGTAATAAAAAGAAAATCGGATGTTTTTTCTCTCCTTCTTGAAAAGGGTTACCACACAGAAACAAAAAAAAATGACACATGCACATAATCAAACCGGCGTCCAATGATATATATTCCCCAAATGCCCGAGATAAACGCAGTTATACCCTATACATCCTCTTGATTGTTTTACGAATTTCATATCTTTATGCGTATGTGTGTGCGTGTGTAACTTTTTTTTATACAGAAACGATTTTATAAATATGATTGAACACTGAACAGTTTATTGTTAGTAAGTGATTCTACAATTAATCTACAAAGCAAATACAAACGCGTTTGAAGTCGAACACAATGAAGTGCTTTCCAAACAATGAATGCACTTCAATCCTTATCCTGATTGATTTATTTTCCTTTAGAATTATTCTACAAAAATATTGGAAAACAAATGAAGTTCCACAATGCAGAGTGAATCCACGTGAAACAATCCAATATTAGATTAATTTTTATTCCACTTTCTCACTCGTATCGTTTTTTTATCAAACGTGATATGTATTGACAGTTTTTTTTTTTTTTTTGCTTAACGAAATCAACACTTGTCGATCCAGTCTTTTATATTGATATAAATGTTTGCAAATTTCCACCTACCTATTTGTGAATTTGTATATCATTTCTTATGCATTTTTTTTAGAAATTTGATCAATTTTTAGAGTTAGAAACACAACAAGACTTGAAGTAGGCGAATTACGCTCAACTTGACAACAAAAAACATCAACTAACAAACAAAAAAAAAAAAAAACAAAACAACAATTCAACTTTAATTGAAGCAGACTAACAATAAACATAAACCGAAATTATTTTGTCAAAATTTCAGAAAAACTGTTCGTGCTTTCCTAAGATATCAGTGTTGTTGTGAATTTGACGAGATCGATTACTATCATTCGGTAGGACAAATGTCACTTAAAAATTTAAAATTCTTAATCATTTTTCAAAACCAAAAAAAAACTGCAAATTTTCGAACAAAATAGTTTAAAAAAAAAAACAACAATAAACAAGTATATGCAGCAATCTTTCTTCATCTATACCACTCATATTATCTCTTGACCAATCAAAACTTCACTATGTGTTTTATCATTTGACGTTCAAGGTTGCAGCTGCTCGTAGATTTTGGTTCCATCATTTATGTCACTGTCCTCAAATTTATTGCAAAAAAAGTTTATTTTCACAACATCGCTAATTACAACGATATTCTCTTTCATAACGGCAATCAAAAATGGCTTTCATGCAAACTAATTTAAAAAAAAAAAGTTGCAAATGTAACGCGCATTCTGTAGATCAATAGGTTATGATTGTGTCCACATCACCATATGTTTCATTGAATATACACACACACACACAAACTACTCTTCTCATCTTTGTACAATCGCATTTTAACGATCACTTATCACACAACTACGCAATCACTTCGCAATCATTTTAACGGATTTGTTCAAAGCTATATAAAAACACGTAACACCACCATATCTATATTTATATATAATGTTTAGTTCTTCCTCCCGCAAAATCCACCGTTCACATAGTTTTTGTTTTGTTTCGGATTTCAATGTTTGTTTGCTTTGTAATATACACATTATGGCTTTCGTTTTGTTATCATTTTTGGTTCTAGGCTTAAGGTGTGTATGGAATTGGTTGTTCTTTCCACTGAAACCCCATCATGAACATTATCCTTTTGCTTAGACCTTTTCCATCCAGCTTAAAATAAAAACCAACTGAACATCGTTCAGCAATCAAAAGAATCATCATCACAGAAAAAACAAAATTGTCATCAATACAGAGAGGTCAAATGTTTTTTTTTAAACAAAAACGTTGTTCCTCAATTGAAAATATCCTATTTGTCCCTTGTATAGACGTGATAATTACGTTAATTGATACGAATTTTGTTTTGTAAGTGTAGTGCGGTTGAATATTTACCATCGATTCGATATCGAAATGTCAGTAATTAAACGTCTGTGATCAGGATCTGTATGCATGGAAATAGTTATGGTACTGGTTACCCTAACATATATGTATATGTGTACCTCTGTGTAGCGGAGCTGGATTCGGTTCCGAAATTGTATGTACGAGGAGAGACAAGTGTGACCAATTGAAATGTTTATGTCAGCAAAATTTATCATTGGCTTTAGAATTCGCTTAAAATGACACAAACACTTCGAATGCACACTAAATATTGTTTCAGATAAAATTTTCAATTGTGCATTCAATATGGATATAATGTTTTTGCTAGACAAGTGCGTATAACAGTCCCATAAATGTCTATCATTTTGAAAAGATGAAAAAATAAATCTAACTGAATTGTTTGTAACATAAATCTATGTTTTTTGGGATAGCTAGTAATATGGTTAAACGATCCTGTACTGTACATACCTTTACTGACCGCCTTGTTTTCCATTCTGAGTATAGTGTTCTCTATCTCATTTCATCTTTATTTTCCATCTCTCTCTCTCTAACTCTATCTCTCTTTCTCTCTGTCTTCGACCAAACATTCGATTCAAAACATGAACAAAACAACCGACTACACATTTTGATTTTACCAATATTTATTGTACCACATTTGTAATCGTATTTTCTTTTTCTCTCATTTTCTTCCCTCAATCAATAGAAACATTATCCTCCTAGGACACAGTGCGAGGTGAGTCTGGAAATGAAATTCGCAATTTTTTTCTCAAAATTTTCGTTTCATTTTTCTCATCAAATATTGACGAGTGTGACTGAAAAATACAATTTGCTACAAAATACACCATTTTGTTTTTTTGAGTGAATCAAATGTTTGATGCTACAAAAATCAACTCTCTCATTCTCAATCCGAATTATTCATTACTGAAAATGTTTCAAAGTCAAAATCACACAGAATTTCCTTACAATTTTGGGGTGAATTGGATTTTTCGAGTTGCATTGCACCAAATAATTTTCACCTAATTTTCGGGTTTTTTACTCTTTTTTTTTTTTTTTTGTAAAATTTGAATTTGAATTCAAAAAAGCACAAGATTAGAGCACAAATCAATGAAATGATCACTTAATGAAGAGAGTAAAAAGCCCTTCATTGAAAAAGAAAATCAGATACACACGAAAAAAAACTATCCTCATTCACACACTTCATTTGCGGTAAATCTGCTGTTTGTAATTCGCTGCAGAATATTTTTCAAAACTTTTTTTAGAGCGGTAAAAAAATGTCTATATCCATTAGAGCATTTCTGCCTTTCCATTTTTGAATAGTGAAGTCTGTTTATCGCTTTGCCAAAATTCTCTCTCTCTCTCTCTCTCTCTCTCTTTCTCTCTCTCTCTTTCTCTCACACTCTCTATCTCTCTTTCATTTAGTCCGTCAGGGTGGAAGGATTCGAATTTTTTTTTTGAATTTTGGTATAGCTTGCTAATTAATATAGTTCATTGATCAATCAGTGTCATTTTGAAACAAAACAAATTGAATAGATTGATTTCCATTAAAGATCGAATTCAAATAGTTCCCATTTCGTTTCCATTTTGTTAAAAAAAAAAAACAATTACACTCACACGCAATGCTTTTTGCTGTCATTCTCATTATTTTCAATTTTATCACATCTGCGACTTCACTTTCACACACAGTTCTTGGAATCACTTGCATTTTTGAGCCTCTTTGCTATTTTATTTCTTTCAAACACTTCAATTTCTCTGTCTCTCTCTCTCTATCTCTCTATCTTTCTCTCTTTCTTTTTCTACGTCTTGCCACTCCAATCCACTCTTTGTGATTTTCTGTATTCACATGATTCAATGAATAAAAAAAAACAAAAATGACATGGTCAATAATATAAAATACATCAATCAATTGTAAATAACCAAGGCATAAAAATGTCTTCAAAGGTAAGCGATTGCATTGAATTCTGACGAGATCGTTATATCCATCACACAACAAACAATTGGATTTAATTCGAAATCTAGTTTAAAATTTAGTTTTCATTTGAGTTTTTTCGTAGAAAAAAAACGCGCAATCGACTTTCAAAATTTCGAAATAAAAATTCAAACCAATTCTATTTCTGCATAATGCTCATGCCAGTCAAATTCAGATCAGTTACTGAAATAAAGACACCAAATTGAGAAAATACATTGAAGAACTGAAAAGTGCATTTTCAGTAACAGTATGCTTTCGCTTCTTCAAATTTGATTTCAAGGAACGAATCGATCATTTGGGAAAACTTTTTATGTTATTTAATTGCTAACTCGAACAGGAACGACAATAACAACAACAAGATAAAACCCACAAAAAAAAACCGCTAAACATTTCAGAAACAACAAAAAACCAACAATTATTTTAAACAAAACGACTAAATTTATTTCAACTGTTTCATGTACCTGATTCACTATAGCCGACCCACGTTTTGTAGACGAAATATTGGTGTAGCATCGCCGACGTATATACGATAATCATTAAGCACAACGGAGACAACGAAATATTTGAAACAATTTTTGTCCCAAGTATAGAGTTACGAAACCGTAACATTCGGCAGTGCGCACAGAAATTACGTTTCAACTTTTTTTTTCAACTGAACTTGTGATGGGCAAAATTACACACAAAATTTAGAGAAAAAAAAAAACAACAACAACCACAACAGCATTACAAATTGATTCGATTATTCCGCCCATAAATAAGAAAAATTTCCAAATATGATTCATGCCAAATGAAACAGAAAACAATAAGAAGAAAGGAAAACACAGAGTAACAGTGAATTGATTTGCAATAAAAAAAAATATTTCCAATCTGTCTACACTATCTACCAAACATCATCTTTTTTATACCAAGTTGCTAACTATCTTTTTCGTAGGTAAGTTGGAATTTCTTGGCTGGCTTGTTCCACGTTCAGTAGGTGTCTTTATATAAACAAGAAAAAGAAACGAAATCATTTGCTTTTGTGGGGATCGAACGCAATTTGGTGTTCGATTATCACAGATGAAACGATAAATTCTCAATTTCTTTCTTGTGTGTAGTGTTGTGCATGCTCAATGTATTTTTTATTTATTTATTTCCGGCATGTAACCCAATGTGTGTGTATTCAAAGTGCGCTAAGCAGCTAGTTTAGTAGTTAAACAAAACAAATGAAAGTGTATCGAATCAGCAAACCAATCGGAAAAAATATTGAGTAAAGAAACTATTGGATTATGAAATTAGCAAATTTGCTATTTGCAATAATCGGCTAGTGCTTGATTGTCCAAATGTAATCCAAAACGAAGGGAAAAAAGGATATAAATAAAATATATGCATGATATAAATTAGATATCTTATTTGAGCACAGAATCGAATTGCTTTAAATATGTCAATCCATTAACCATTCGCAGATGGGGGAGAAATCATCGAAACGGCTATCATTCCTCGCAGCAAATAGTGCCCACAGACTTTCGGACGGGTTACATACGTTCGCACCTACGGTCACCTTCAGGTATACCACTAGTTCAAGCATTTTTTTTTTATGTACAGAATAAAAAGAGAACATCAAATTCTATTTGAAAATTAATTTGAAAAGAAAAAAACTTTATTCACGCCAAAAACCATGCATTTCAGGTCGAGTGAGATGACCGAATCGTCATCCCAAACATTTACGATTGATCATCCAAACAGTTTGCAGTTGATCGATCGAAATCTACCATTAACTCGTCAGTATCAACGAACCCTAACTGCTACCATTGTGACCGCAAACGATGACGAATTCCAAGTAACCACTCCAACTAAACGACCGCGTGGCAATTCTGTATTTGAGGAGAGTCTTCTTCAAGCCGGTAATTATCTTCGGCGCAAATTTTCATATGGATCAAGTGACTAAAATTGCACCTCCAACACAAATTCGAACTAACAATATCATTGACGAATCGATGAAACATCATCCGAAAAGCAACAATGAATTCAATCAAAAATGTTGATTTTAAACCTAAACATGAAAAATTCATTTACATTTGTGGTGAAAGCAATGATTCGGTACAAAAATTAAGAAAAAAAATCACTCAAAAACGTGTTTAAATGCACTCAATGATATTAGTGTACAATGATAGGACAAAAGTTTGTCGACAAATTTCATTTTCAAACATCGGCTTCCCATACTCATAAGCCTGATGTCAATATTTTTATCACTCTCACCGTTGACTATCGAGCACAAAAAGAAAACACAAACAAAATTGTTGTACAATTCGTCTCTGAAATGAAAATCCATTTAAAGATAAATTCAATGTTAACAAAATGTTAGATGTTATGTTTTATCACTATGGTCATATGCGTTAGATTTTAGCCAGTGGTTTGCGGTGCAAATGGTTACTTACTGGAATTTCATTGGCCTAAGGAAGGAAACCAAAAAAAAGTCCGTTTCCACAATTTACATGTGAGCTTTGATTAATATCAAGTTATGACTTGACACAATTTCGAGAAATTAAATTATTCTACGCAATTCAACCGTGTGTACTTGAGAAAATCTAAAAAAAAATTGTAATTTATCCAAGACTAACACATCTCACTTCTAGAGTTCTGTTCTCCAAACATCCAGACTAATAATACTGGGCGAAACACATACAATTGGAAATTATTAAAATGAATAGAATTAAACATTTTAACATTGAATGGAAGTTTTTAAATATTTTCACGAAAATAACACAAAAAGCATATTTTTTTATTAAATTAAACAATTCGATAATTATCTCGTTTTATTTATACAAAATATTTTAAAGATTTTATTTCAAAAAAAAAAA